CTTGTTGCAGTTTATGTAGGGAATTCAGGGCTAGTTCCTGTAATTTGCATTTATCATTATCTTCTTCATTAATTGATATGAATTCTATATATATATATATATATATATATATATATATATATATATATATATATATATATATACACATATGTATATAATTGATGAAAATCACAGCATGTTTGACGTTAGTTAACTTACAATTTAACTTTTAACTTTAATTTAACTTTTCTATTTTTTAAACGGTTGGTCGTAAATCGTTTTCAAGTTTCTTTAGTTCAAAACCAAAATTTTTGTTTATTTGAGCATCTGGGCACAAACACAACATATCAATTTGAAGACAAAAGATGGTATAGGAATACTGAAAAAAGGTTTTTTGTTCAATCATGCATAAAATAAACAAAAATTTTTGTTTTGAACTAAAGAAATTTTAAAATGATTTACGATCAACCGTTAGAAAAATCGAAAAGTTAAATTGGAAGTTAAACATGCTGTGATTTTCATCAATAATTGCAAGAAAAATGCAGTTGGTTTTCAGCGTTTATATGATAGAATCTGCACATGCACGCACATAAGTGTGCAGACTGACAACACATTAAATAAACGTGATGTATTGTAAATGTGTGCACAACGATAAAATCGTACGCACATTTATAAACCCGTTTATATAATAAGAAGGTGCTTATACACATCGTTGTATATATATTTTTGTGTGTTGTATTGTATATTTGTGTGTGCGTATGTTTGTGTGTATCCACATATAATATAAATACAGTCAAACCTCCTTATAGCGGATTTCTATACAACGAACATCTCTATATGACGAATTTTTCATGTCTCTTGGACTTTTACATATAAATACAATGCAATACAATATAAAACTGTTTCTATAGAACAAAAATAATTTTTCTATTACGAACAAAATTAAAAAGAAGTTAAAAAAATATCCGAACAGTAAACATTAATATGAATTTATATGAGCAGTGTTATGGTATTCATTTTCATTTTGTTTCTCGTTCTAGTATTCTATGAAATTTGCTTAACCTACCTCGATTAATTTCAATTGAATCAAAATCGACGCTGCTTGGATAAAGAACAACTTCACTTTTAGAATTACATTTTCCATTTATACTATATATTATTTGTTTCTGTTATGAAAATAAAGGTTCAGGATGTTGTTTTTCATAAATACAGAGCATATAAACATCTTTTAGGCAATATAAAATTTTTTCCCGAACAAGAACTATATAATGAAATTTCTATATAACGAATTTTTTTGGACTCATCAAGTTCGTTATACGGAGGTCCGACTGTATTAATCATTAATCTATAAACGCCACCGTTAAAAACATGTTATTGGTAGGTAGATATAATATGTAACATTATATGTAATATATACGTTATATACATATAATTAGGGCGTTCATAAAGAAAAATATTACTAAGAATCACCTCTTCTGCCTTTAATGTACATTTGGAAATTTCATAGAAATCAGTGAGAAGAGAAGGTTTAATGATATGCGTGCGTATGAACTCATATAACAGAATATTTGTATTTAAATATTAATGATATTAATGCAATTTTTAGAATAAAACCATTGAGTGTTGAAGTATATAAACTAAAAAGGGAATGAAGATATATATATATATTGGTAATAGACCATAATTTATAGAATATTGTAAAATATATATATATATGCTGTGATTTTCATCAATAATTGCATTATATATATATATATATATATATACAGTTTTTAAGAAAATGGTTATATATATATATATATATATATATATATATATATATATATATATATATATATATATATATATATATAAGGAGACCATATTTTATGAATTCTACTAAATTGTTGGCATTAGTCAATTTAAAGTTTTTCATTTCTATTTTTCTTACTGGAATTTCCTGAAAATTATTCAGTTTGCAAAAAATAGAATCATCTAAGTTCATCATAAAAATTTAATAAAACAGTTGTTATCCAAATTCATCATGCTGATAAGGCCTTATTTCGATTTTTCATGAATAATTTTCAGTGCAGATTTGGTTTATATAGTTTCTTTAAACAAAGTAATGATCTTTAGCAAAATTTATTAGTTTATTCAAAACACCAACAAACACTATACATCTAAAAATTGTAGAAGCTGTCCTAATAAATATCAATATAAACCCCAAATAACATCCAACAAAGAATGATAACACCATTACGTACCCGACGCCTTAATACTGACTTCAATAACAAT